GCATCAAGTCCTTCTTCTCTTATACTGACAATCTTTGAAAAGTAAGCTTCCAAACTGTATCTGTCTTTAATTACTTCAGCACGTCATGGTTATCATTTTAGGATTATTTTCATGTCTATAATATTTCCTAATGTAACATATAATGTAGCTCTTTTTAACTTTATTGAATTTAAATGCCAGATTTTCTTAATTCTTTGTCAAATTTTTAATCAATTTTCTGCTACTGTGACGATAGGTTTTCGCCCCAAAACTGGAGGACTGACTCTTCGCGGACGGAACAACAACAACTGGGGGAAATAACTCTGTAGAGACGACTTGGCAGCGAGAACGGAAACTCGTCACGATTTCCTGGTACACGGAGATCTGCTTCGAGCGAGCTTATACGGACGTCAAGGATAAGACAATCTTTGGTTCCACAGTATTTTTATTCTAGGTCAGGCCAACAAGCGACATGACCTCTAGCATACTCTAGTTTGTAATCATCAAAGCTGTACAAGGTACTTGCTTAAAAAGTAACTGGTGCGAAGTGCTATTGTTACACAAATCGCAATATTTGGATAAGGACACAAAGGAGCGGAAAAAAGTCTCTTTGAAGCTAAACAAAAACTACTTAAATATTCCATCTGTTTCTACGACGGAAAGAATCTCAAAATTAAAAAGACGGATGCAATAAACTTTAGGCCATTAAGGTAGGAAACCTAGGTGCGAATTTACAGCTCTGGTATAGAAAACAATACCTATCTTAATTGCAGTAGCGCAGCTCAGGAAATAAAAAACGAAAAAGCAATTAAAAGTTTCTGCTTATTTATACAAGATTGGTTTGGAAACCATTGCATGAAAAGACATTAGATTTACGCGTTTAAACTAAGCTGCTATCTACCATGAAAACCAATGTTTCCAGAAAGACCATTAACACTTATATTTACCTAAAAAAACCCATGTACTAGATGACAAAAGTGCCGACAAGCAGGTGCATAGTAAAAGCGAGTAATCGATAAAAATCCATTCTAAAAGCCACTGTGGTTTTTGTACATTTTTATTTAACTACCAAAGGAAAAAAACCCGAATAACCGAATATTCCAAATGTAAAAGTATATGAATATATTTTTAAGATGTTTATCCCGAAACCCACGAAAACCCTAAATACAATATTTTTGTGATCAGTCAACAATTTACTTTTTTTTTGGTTATAACTAATTTGAATAATCAATAACATGAATAGAACAACTCGTTCACCATTCTTTACCGCTCAACCGGTCGAGTAAAAGAACGAACAAAATACAGAACTGGGTCTAAACCGATAAATAAATATAAAATTTGTCCTAAAATTGAAATACATAATTTTTCCCCCTGACACTACTCACTTCATTACAAAAATCAATAAACTTCGAAATCTCTTTCTTATATCTCCTCGATGTAGAATCCGCTTTAGACTTCAATAATGTCGAGATACTCTCCTAGGTTAGGCTTAACACCAACCGGGATGCAACTCCAAAGATAGTCTGAAGCAAACATCTGTAACGAGAAAACAAGAAATAACGCAAATTATGAAACCACCAAAACAGTCACATGCTGCAAAGACACTTCCACAACAACACAGAATAACGACAAGCGCCTCCGCAAAAACATAGTAATAATACCAACCCCACGCCAGTGCCTGTTATCCACAAAAACATTGTAATAATACCAACTCGGGCCAGTGCCTCTTAACTACAAAACATGGTAATAATATCGACCCAGGCCAGTGCCTCTTATCTACAAAGATATTGTAACAATATCGACCAAGGCCAGTACCTCTTAACTACAAAACATGGTAATAATATCGGCCCAGGCCTGCGCCTTTTATCCACTGAAATTTTAATGGTTAAACATCCCATGTAAATAAAGCCATAGAAACTTAAGAAACTTCATACGAACGGCTAGGATGAAACCAGTGAACCTGTCACTACCCATTTTCTAGAAATAATAGGCCAGAAATATGAAGACGGCCAAAGGGCACAACTAAAGTGGCAACAGCCCTGGAAACGTGCAGGTAATGAATAGCTCTAGCAATAAGGCTCACAGGGGGAACAACCAGGCAATTTTCGCCCTCCGCTACAGAGCGGGGGAGGGGGGTGGGTGGGTGAGTGGGAAAAGAAGTAAACGCCAGGATGGAGAGCGCGAGCGAGAGGAATCTGTTAACTCTTTGAAGCCTAAAATACTACACATCAACCAATCACAAAAAGCCCTGGAGACACGCCCTAGCGGCATGTTCCAACAAAAACGAAAAAACATAAAGTGCTGACTAACTGCATCAACTTCATACCAGCAGAAAATACATTTACGTTCTAATTCGCTACGCTCAAACGAACGTAAATTATTTTCCTCTTAAATAAATGGATAAGCAAATACAACAAATTGATGGTTGGATGCTCAGGCAGTCCAACCAAAAGGACCCAGAACTTCACAAAGTAAAAATAAGTAGAGGTCTTATAGCGAAAAAGCTGATAGTCACTAGAAGACTTAAATTTTTTCGAAGTGTTACCGCTGATACTCTTCGTTTCTTTTCTCTTCTTCTCAGCGGCAGCCTTGGCTTTACGTATCTTCTTCTCATCTTCGGAGTCTGAAGCGAGATCGTCGGACTCGTATTCTTGGACAACAAGCCAGCCATCTTTGTTCTTGTCGGCGATTTTGATCAACTTCTGACGCTTTTTGATGAGCAGTTTTCCTTCTTCAACCAACTTGTGAACATCAGCCGGGCTACTGGCACTCTCGTCGATTCGTGTTAATATGTTGTCCAGTTGCGAATTCAACTCAAACTGCTTTCGGTTACCTTTGAACTTAATGTCTGCAGCTTCTTTGTCGGACTTAGAGCTTCGCTCAAACTGCTTCCCTTTCTCTCCCAATTGAGAGGTCAAGTAGCCTTTAAAAAGAGAGAAAACCTCATTCATCAACTGTGAATTTGAAGAAGGGTTCTGCAAAACAACATCGGCTTCAACAACAGAAGGAACGGAACCACTTTCTTCTGTAGAATTCATAGCAGTATCCTAGCATCAAAAGAAGTAAACGTCAGGATGGAGAGCGGGAGCGAGAGGAATCTGTCAACTCTTTAAAGCCTAAAGCCTACTACACATCAACCAATCACAAAAACCCCTGGAGACACGCCCTAACGGCGTGTTCCAACAAAAACGAAAAAACATAAAGTGCTAACGAACTGCATCAACTTCATGCCAGCGGAAAATACATTTAATGTGACAGACATAAATGCCATCTGTAAATTAAATCCACTGGGTTATATTCTATATCTATCAGACTTCAGGAACATGGAAACTTGTCCATTTCATTTCTTTCCTATCCTCGCCTTAGAATAAAAGGAACTTAACCTGGTGTTGGAAAAGTCCAAAGATTGGGGCATTTGTTCATGTCTCCACTGAGCGACCAATTTTGATCAGAACTCCTACATCGGTATTGAAAGCTACCGTGTAACTTTCGATTACAGTAGGAAAATTTGAAGGCAACTGATTTCGTTATCAGTGCTAACATGAATTGCAAATCTAACCAAATGCTTTTTGTCTGTTTGATCAAATTCTGTAATCCACAACTTTGTTTAATTAACTTAAAATAACATGAAATCTACAAGTATAATTAACGAGGATCTTTACATTAATCTTTGAATAGCGCAACTTGAGTTCTCAATGTAACAGTTAATAATAACCATTAATGAAGTACATAGTCCAACTCTTAAACAAAACCTAACACTCAATACATATTTGTGAGTTGCCTCAGTTCCAACTACAGCCTTGACATCTTTCGTCAGATAAGCCATCATGTCACAATGTACCAGATCCGATTTGCCTCTCGCTTCGTTGTCTTTTTTGAAATGTTGCTGGAGCGGGATGAGCTCTTGGAAGGATCGATCAATATTGTTGGATTTTTACTGTTTTACTTTTAAAATTGGTGCGGAAGAATTTTGGAAAAGCTGATTAGAAAGAGATTAAAGTAGACAAAGGAGGTAGATAGAGTTTTTACTGCAACAAACACGGTTTGAGGGTCTCAATGCGGTAGTGGCTTCTACGGCTATCGGTTACAGTAAACTTTTTTTCACGACTGACGATTAACATTTGTCTAACGGCTAAAATCTATGGCTGTTTTACGACTAACGATTAACGGTTAACCCCACTAACACCCTCAGATTTGCATTTGTGGAGAAAAATTTCTCTGGCGCGAACAAAGGCGTACGCCAAAGTATTGTGCGCAGAGTAAAAGAAATTTGGAAAAAGTTTAATTTGAATACCAACAAAAAAAAGGCCTGTATTGTTAGAAAGGGACTCACGATGGAGTTTTAGTCTAATAAAAATGTTTTTTAAGCAAAACAACTAAAGGTGATTCCGTGGGATACGTTGGCAACTGAGCACAGGATTAGAAGGGATTGTGCAGCAACAGTGAACTACCATTTTCAGATGATTAGTCAGTTAGCTCATCCGAAAAAATCATTGTAGAAAATTTTAGTGTTGAATAAACAGTGACTGGCTTTGTAGTTGATAATAACGAAGAGTGGCGACTCAAAAACCTCTGGATTTTTCTGAAACAAACTGGAACTCCACCTACTGATCTCCTCGTGTTTCTCATCGTTTGTTTCATCCCTTCAAAGAGCAACAGCTGGGTAAAAACAATCACCATTTCCACGAATAACGATTTCTCTCCTTTGAGGACACATATTTTTAGCCTCCGTATTTGTTTATCAAACACGTTAATAAGTAGGAAAGCAGGCTATTCACAATCTTTTTAAAACCGTACTTACGAAAACAAGGAATGACCTTAATTGGCCTTGACTGATGTGCCCAATGATCCAAAATGACCAAAAAAAAACCTAACATAACTTAATTAATGGCCAGAAAAAACCAAACGTGACGTTTAAGCCAGCTAAAAAGATCTAAAATAGTAGTTATCAGTAGGACAATGATCTACACCGCACATAAGCCTAAAGTGGCATCCTAAGTAAAACCGAGATAAAATGAATTTCAGTGATCTATAGCGGATTGCAGAACTGAATGCCTACCCAAAGAAAGACTGAAACGCCGAAGGTGCTGTGAACAACCCGACGTCCCTGAGGAATTCCCGAGAATTACTATGCGATTTTGCGTGGTGGGAAGTGCCCAGTTTTTCCCCAGCAAAGTGGATGTGATTGGTGCGAAGTTCCAAGTTTCGCTCAGCAACGAGGTTTTGATTGATGTAACTATTTTATGAGGAAAGAAAGAGTTATCTTTTATTCGTGCGCTGACCTTGCCCTTGGCATGGTTTCCTGTACACTTCTAGTTCCAGGTACGTACGATTGCAAATAAGGGTCTAAATTCCCGAAGTCTACCAGTTATCATCAAGAATTTCCTCAAGAATTTTCCAAAAATCTTCGGTAGTATTCGCGTCATCTTCGATCTTTAAATGTACACGGCACCTAAGATCCGCGTCTCAGCCTGTAAGGTAAGCACTCAGCCCGTGCATTCAGTTCTATTGTGTGTCGTTGGCAGTTACTATTTCAAATAGTTCCAGTAAAGTTTAAACGTCATCGTGAGATATGTTGAGACCATAGCGCGATGTCAATTTCACAATAAGCCATACGCAAGTTAATCCATCTGTTATAGACTGGCGGCGAAAAAACGATGATTTCTCACCAAAATCGTGTATTTTCGCGTCAAAACAAGCTGGCGCAAACACAAGGATCCGATTACTAACAACTCATATATTGCTAAGAGATACGGGAAACGTCAAACATTTCAAGCATTTCAAGAATTAATTAAATTTTCGTTTTGCGTTGATCATGAAAAAAGAACGTCGGCCAAGTCCTACTGTAGGCCTGCCACAGAGAAGAACTACCACAACCCAATTACCTTGGGTAATTGGACCCTTCTTGAACTCTTGCCTACACGATTTTACCCTGAGCAACTCGACACCTAAGCAATTCGAAATTGGATCACCCTGATTTAACTCGAAGTTGAAAATGGAAAGGAAATCAGAATCATTCATTTGATCCACCTCTCCGTTTTCTTAATTCGTATGTCATAACCACTTGTCAAAGGTAAACTAGCTTCATTGGTTTTGCTTTTGAAGTCTGAACCTATTGCTACAGTTTTAACGCTACTCTTTCAACACTTAGCTCAATCTCTTAACGAGTCTCGAGTTTCAGTAGAATGTAAGATTTGTGTCTAACGAGCAGTTTTTGTTCCCATCATGCAATGATGCAATCATCCGCAAAGTGCTGATTCGTGCGACCTCGGGTGAAAAGGAAATAAGATGTTTTTGAGGCAAAAACCAAAGCTCTAGATGTCTGGTAAAAATGTTGACAAGATGGCTTTCTAGAATTAGATTCAGGATAACCTTTTTTAAGTTAATGTTAATGAAACAAACATAACAGTTAAGAAAATGTATCCTTTAACTTTAAAAAATTGAAAACTTCTAATATAATATAACTTTTAATATAGACAAAGGTAAACGACGGCAGGAAATATCCTCAGTCAGCGCTTTGCATTAGGCGTCTTGCAAACTGAACATCATGGCAACAATCAACAATCCTCCCGCACGAACATTTTGATACATTTTATCTCAGTAAGTGGAGAATGATCGGTAAATCTCGATGAATTACAAGATATAACGCTTTTCAACAAAATATCATAAACGAAACCAAAGTAATCACAACGGCAAATAAGATGGACGGCAAATGCATTGAAGATGAGAACTCAAAGTAAAATCAACCAAACTGCCTGAAGCGCGGGAAAACGTGAAGGACCAAGTGGTGATTGGTTTAATTTTTGTTCCTGATTGGTAGAAAGAGTGGTGCGAGTTTTCTGGTGGCTGCGATTGGCGTATGAAGTCACCGATATGTGGCATGTCAGATATCGACCACTGTCTCTGGCAATCAATTTTGCAGTGATCGGCGAGTTAATTAACCGAGTATATCTTCGGCTTGTGAGACTTCTTGACAGTTATTCGCTAAGGTTGAGCAAACTATCGTGATTTGACAGTGACGAGCATAACATATTATTCATTATTGTTTAAATTTTATGAGAATTGCCAAGAAAGGAAAAGGAAACAAAGGGAAAAAGAGAATTTCACTTTACCCTTCGATTCTATCTTATTGTTCGTAAGCAGTATGAAATTCAAATAAAAACTCCGCTAATAAATCATGCATGAATTACCTTGCACACACAAAATCGCTAAAAAGTGCGACCCTAGAAAGGAGAGAGAAAGCAAATTAAAACGGATTCTCACATAACCCACAGTCTAACACGTTATCTCGCGCGAGCTTCCAAAATTTAAATGTCTCAACACGCGTCACACTTTGCCTTCCCATAGCATGTTTCTGAATTACAGTTAAGATGTTTCAATTTTTAAATTAGTCAAAAAACAATCTTATTTACATTGTAGAGTGCGAGCCTCTTTTCCAACAGTAGAGGTGTTCTACGGAAGATTCGAAGGCGCAAAGACTTCCAACTTCAAGCCATGTTCATTTGGGGATCAAGGGATTCTCTAAAATTTCGTCATCCCATTCTAAGCCCTTTGAATCCAAGTCCTGATGAAAAAGCATCCCTGGAAGAGTAAATGGAGCTGCCCTTCCCAGCGGGTCATGAACGGAATTGACCATTGAAAGTATATCACGCCTAGTACAAGGTCGATCTTAAATGAGCACTTTGAAATCAAACGTGCCAGTCGTGACGAACCAAGATACAACCAGGTGCATCATTGTTGTGTCTCCCGTTGCAGATCACATTGTGCACAGGGCTTCTCCTTGCGGCATCCCATCGATTTGTGTCTTTTTCTGAAACACTAGAAACACTGGCTTTTCTTTTAAACGAAATCAAAACGTTCGCAGACGGGACTAATTAAAAAACCTACACGACGCACTCTTCCTACTTTATCAAGAATATGATCATCGTTGTCTCACCAGTCAGGCAGTCTTTCTATAACATTTCCTATGTTGTTGGGGCTTTAAATCTTGTTGAGATAGCCGGTAGTTTTGAGGATGTTGGTACAATCGAACAGAATT